CCTATCAAAGGCCTTCACACGGCCCAAGAGTTTCTTGTTATTGCGGCAATTGATAAGCACTTGAGTGTTGTTCTTGACCGACTGTGTGAGCACAGAGAGTGGACCAGTGTTAAATTCTTCCTCCTCCCGCTTCTGCAGCTCCTCTGGGGTCATTTCACTCTTGGGCTTGTTGAGGAGGCTCCTGAATGGGCAAGTATGGAACCCTGAGGTGAGAGCGGCCGGAGCTGCAAGCATGGGTGGCCAAGGCCTCACCCCTAGTGTCTCCCCAACCTTGCTGAACACGCCCATCCTCCTGCTCAGTCTCCTCTCTTGGCATCACCACCTGGATGCCTAACAGACATGTTCAACTTCGCACGTCCCAGGTTGAGGTCCAGGTCACTCAACCTACCCCATCCACAGTTTCCCCCATTTCCACTGATAATTCTCTGGGCAAAAACTGTCAACTTGACTCCTCTCTCTCTTACATCCCATATCGAATCTGTCAGCAAATGGCCATTTCTTACCATGGCCTAAGCCTCCATCATCTCTCTCCTGGAGTCTTACTGATCTCCCTGCCTCCACCGATGTTCCCTGACAATCTGTTCTCCACAGAACACTCTGAAGAGTTGTGCTAAAACCTAAATCTTATCATGTCACTCTTCAAAACGCTTCTATGGCTCCCATCTCAGTGTAAAAGGTAAAACCCAGAGTTTTTGCATTTGTCTACATTTGCCCCCTCTCTCACTCTGCTCCAGCCACAGTGGCCTCCTGGGTGGTCCTTAAAATGTGAGGCAAATTTTCACCTTAGAGCCTCTGCGTTTGCTTTTCCTTCTGCCTGGAAGCGCCAGATATCTGCATGGTTCCCCTTCTTCAGGTCTTTGCTAAAGTGATGCCTTCCCCATGTGTCCTTCTGTGCTAGTTATTAAGTTACTGGCATTTCCCATTGTTTTCAGCCTGCTCAATTGCTTCTTTATTCACAGCCCTGATCACCTAACACACCATATACTTTATTTATTATTTTCTTTATTGCCTGTCTCCCCTCCCTCCTATAAGCTGTAGCAAGAGAGTTTTTTCTTGGGGGCGGGTAGGTCTCATTCACTGATGTATCGTGCCTGATACATGAACAATCAATGTATTAATAATATTTGCTGAAGGAATAAGTATGCAAAATCTTGCCAGTGACTCGTCATCCGAAAAAGTCGCGAATTAGGTCGAAAAGACACCCGTTTCCCGCTCAAATTATCCTGATAAATCCCTTACCTCATTATTCCTGAAAGTCCGTACTGCTCCCCTCCCAGGTTCTTTATTCGTAAAATCGCTTCCCTTGAACAATCATTTCAACGGGACTAATTATCTAGGAAAGTCCCCAGCCCGTTATCTGATAAAGCTGTCCAGTCTCCTGAACTCACGATCCGTCAAAGGCCCCATGCTGGTTCCCAAACTCATCAGGAGATGAGTACACCACTTTATCCCTAAAACCTCCGCCTCCGCCCCCAGCTCTGCTCGTCCCCTTCCACCGTTAATCGGCTAAATTTACACCCTCAACCTCACTCCCGCCGCCTAAGCCCAGCCCAGACTCACATGGTGGTGGCTGTGCTCTCAGATCACTCCTCTCTCCGCGTTGCTTTTCTGCCTCTGAGGAAACAGGGCGCGAGACAGGCGGGACTTCCGCTTCCTCAGGCCCACTTCCGTGGGCGCCTGCGCAAACCTACCACCATGTGGAGGCGTGGCCTGTTGCCATAGTGATCCCCGCCCCCGAGAACAAAGCCTCGAGTAGTGGTTCTAGGCCATTCAGGACCATACGAGGCAGACGTCCATGACAATGGAGAGAAAAAGAGAGGGAGTTTGATTCAACCCATTTCGTTACAGAACGGTATAAGTCAAAGGAGGGAAATGACACGCCATTTCCAAATGCCCGCCGACCCTGCCTTCGGGGGCGCGGCTTCTGCGAAGCCAATCGGCTCCTCGCTTCGGCGATAGGCACCGCCCCTTTTCCACCCCAGGGACTGTTCATTGACGTGTTTATTGATCTTTCCGACCCCGCGCAACCAATCCCTTGCCTACATCCGGGAGGGGCATGGACCTGCGCCCGAGAGGTCGAATGTTTTCCACGATCAAACGCTGATCATTGGCTTTCCCTCCTCCACGAAGGCGGAGCCTACCCCTCTCGCGCTCCCTTTTGGGGGCGAGGGGGTGGGGGAGCGGGGAGGGGGTGCAATCCTCAGGGGAACAACCCTAAAACCCCGGGGGGGGCGTGTCCTCAAGATCATAGTTCCCATTGGTTTCCCTGCTCGCTAGGGGGTGGGATGGTGCAGTCGCTCTTGCTGCTCATTGGTCCATTGATTCCATGGGGTGGAACTTGGCCGGGCCTAAACTCAATCCGCGGTCCCGGAGCGATTTCAGGGCAGAGCTGCCATGCGTTCCGGGGGCCGCGGGCGGCCCCGGCTGCGACCCGGGGAACGTGGCCTCACGGGGGCACCCTCACCACCGAAGCGCCGCCTGCTACCGCGGGGGCAGCTGTTGCCCCTGCTGCTGCTGGCGCTGGCCGTGGGCTCGGCGTTCTACACCATCTGGAGCGGCTGGCACCACAGGACTGAGGAGCTGCCGCCGGGCAGGGAGCTGCGGGTGAGTCCGGGAAGGGACCCAGGCATCGCGGGGACCCTCATTCCCTCCTCTTCCCCGACGTCTGTGGTTGACGTGGCTTTATTGCACGGCCCTAGCCGCAGGTGCCCCCATCGCCGTCATTTGAGCGCATGGCCCTTACCAACGGAATAAGGCTTCGGGCTTGTTCTGTAATAGCAGCTCTTCCTCACGAGGAAGGGTCTGGAGCAGTAAGACTGGGAATTCAGGGTTCTAGCCTTAAGTCAGCTATTTGGAAGAGTCCCTTCCTCTCTCTCCTCTCTGTAACTGGGCGTCGGTATCCCCATCACGGTTGAGGTAGGCTGGACCAGATGGGCTTGGAGGGACTTTTCCCGAGTCCAAGAATTATCCTAGAAGTCTCCTATGCTGGAGGCCACAGATGACGAAGAGGAACTGGGGTTCCTTGGGGCGACGGCGCCTGGGGCAGGGTCGGAATAAGATTGCTCTCATTCTTCTCTTCCCCATCCCACCTTCCTCCCAGGGCCCCTTAATCGGAAGCCTCCCCGAAGCCCGGCTGCGGAAGGTGGTGGCACAACTGGACCCGCAGCGTTTCTGGGGCACTTATCTGCGCCCCCTGCTGGTTGTGCGAACCCCAGGCAGCCCCGGCAATCTCCAGGTCCGAAAGGTAAGAGCCCTACCTCCAATTCCGGACACCCCCAGCCCGCTAGGGAATGGGAGAGGCCCCTGCCAGTAACAAACCACCAGGCTGTACTGCCCACCTTACTACCCCCGCCAAAAGCTTACTTTGTGCTAGGTGCGAGCAACAAACAGTCCTATGAGGTGGGTACCAATATGATCTTCATTATGCAGATGGGGAAACTGAGGCCCCGAGAGGTTATATACTTTCCAAATCCTACAGCTAATATTATAAGTGGTAGACCTGGGATTTGAACCTAAGCAGGTTGGCTCCAGAGCTGGTGCTGTAATGTTTCTATATTATATTACCTCCCTGAAAGCAATGAGTCATTTATATATTGCCTGATTTCCAATCCTACCTCATCCTCTTAGATTGTGACTTTGGACTAGTTTCTTTCCATTTTTTTTTTTTTTTTTGAGACAGTGTCTCTCTCTCTCTCTCTCTCTCTCTCTCTCTGTCACCTGGGCTAGACTCACTTTTGCACAGGCTGGTCTCGAACTCCTGACCTCAAGCAATCCTCCTGCCTCGGCCTCCCAAAGTGCTAGGATTATAGACATAAACCACGGTGCGCAGCCCTGGACTAGTTTCTTAATCTCTCTGGGGCTCAGTTTCTTCATCTGCAAAAGGGGGTCATTCATTGAGAGTCCCTACCCTGTAGGGTCCCTAGAACAGAGCTTGCAACATAATGGGAGGTATTTAAGAGTAAGCTGTGATTAGTGTTGTTGGCATCAAGACAACGTCTAGCACCCAGTAGGTACTCAGCAGAAGTGTGTCAAGGGAAAGATTTAAACTGGAGTGGGACTTGCAGGTCTGCGGGACCGCTCTGCATGGCTCAGGTCACATGGCCCTTCTCCCCACCTCCTCCCCAGTCCCCGTCCACCCTCCCACCTCTCTCTTACCACTAGTTCCTGGAGGCCACGCTGCGGGCCCTGCCAGCAGGCTGGCATGTGGAGCTGGATCCCTTCACAGCCTCGACGCCCCTGGGGCCATTGGACTTTGGCAACGTGGTGGCCACGCTGGACCCAGGGGCTGCCCGTCACCTTACCCTCGCCTGCCATTATGATTCAAAGCTCTTCCCACCCCGGTCGGCCCCCTTTGTGGGGGCCACGGATTCAGCTGTGCCCTGTGCCCTGCTACTGGAGCTGGCCCAGGCCCTCGATCCGGAGCTGAGCAGGGCCAAGGAGCAGGTGAGGAGCAGGAGTGGGGCAAGGGGCGGTGGGCCACCTCCACCTTTTCTTAAGCCACCACCCTCCTTTGCCTGGGCATTTGTCATCCCTCTCGTCTTCCCACCTCTACTCCATGCATAGAGCCACAGCAATCTTTCTACCTCCCAAATGTCAGATATTGCTAGATCCTGTCCTTCTGCCCAGAACCCTCCCATGGCTCCCCCTTCGTTCCAAGCATAAGCCAGAATCCTTATACTGGCCCACGAAGTATGCCCTGTTACCTCTCTCATCTCTTCTCCTGCCCCTCACCCCTGGCTCACTCCACTCTAGCCATACCCACCTCCCCGTGCCCTCAAACCCACAAGGTTCACTCCTACCTCAGGGCATTTGCACTTGCTGCTTGCTCTGCATAGAATGTGCTTTTCTCAGATATCTTCTTAGCTGGTTCCTGTCCTTCATTTAGGTGTCCACTCCAATGTCACCTCTTCAAAGATGCCTTCCCAACCACCCTAAAACAGCTCCTTGTCACCATCCCATGCTGTATGGTACATTCTGTTGATCTGCTTGCCTGTCTCCCCAGCTAGAATAAGTTCCATGAAGGCAGGGACTTTTGTTTCCTTCTGTATTCCTTGGACCCAAAATATTGCTTGGTATAAAGTAGGATGGCTATAAACATTTGTGGAATGAATGAATGATTGAAAACACAAATCTAATCATGCTCCTGCCCTGCTCAAACTTCCTCAGTGGCTCCCAAGTGCCCCTGGGGAGCCAAAACCCAAACTCTTTGGCCCATGCCAACCCTTCTGGTCTCTTCTCAAACCTCTCTGACCCCTTCCCTGGCCCCAGTCTTGGTCCGTGTTGTTCCCTTGGCTGGGAATACTTCTTCTTCTGCCCCACATTTGCCGGGCCAGCTCCCACCCACCCTCAGTGCAAACACCTCTTCCCGACAGACCCAACACCCTCCCCAGGCCAGGTCATTCCCCCGCCCCCTTCCTCTGCTCTTTCAGGACTCTGCAGCTCTTGGAAGCATTTGTCCCAATTGCCTTTCACTGTTTGCATAATTATTCATTCGTGGGTCTCTTTCCAAACTGAACTTGAGGAATAATAATCAGAGCTAACCCTTAGTTAGTTATTATATGCCAGGCACTGTTTGAAGACCTGGATTCAAATCCTACCTTAAGAATAGAATCATTATTGACTCCATTTATAGATAACAAAACTGATGCTTCGAGAAGTTAGTAGCTCTCCCACATCTGCTCGGCTATGAAGCAGCTGAGTGTGGGTTTGATCCCAGGCAGTTTGGCTCCTAGTCTATGCCCTTGGCCACCGTGTTCTGAGTGAGGACATCTACTTTGTCCTGTTCAGCTGTGCAAGGAGGCAGGAAATGTGGGTGGGTTGAGGCTGAAGGCTGGCCCTGAGCTGGCCCTGGCCACCTGCTGCTCCCACAGGCAGCTCCGGTGACCCTGCAACTGCTCTTCTTGGATGGCGAAGAGGCGCTGAAGGAGTGGGGACCCAAGGACTCCCTTTACGGCTCCCGGCACCTGGCCCAGCTCATGGAATCCATGCCCCACAGTCCGGGCCCCACCAGGATCCAGGCTATTGTAAGATCGGGGTCCCACTGGGTCCTGGCCGGGGAGGGAGAAGGTGAAGCGGGGTCGGCAGTATCCCGCTGGCGCCCTTCAGTCCTAGCCTCTCCCCCAGGAGCTCTTTATGCTTCTTGATCTCCTGGGAGCCGCCAACCCGACCTTCTACAGTCACTTTCCTCGCACGCTCCGCTGGTTCCATCGGCTGAGGAGCATCGGTAAGGGTGGAGGAAGGATGGAGGCAGAGGCGGGCTTCAGCCTGGGGTGCGGCAGGGAGAGCGGGGTGGGCCAGGCCCTCCCTCCAAAGGCTCATCCAGCCTTCCCTCTGCCTTCCTAGTCTCTCTGCGGAACTAGAGCAGAAGCAAACTGTATAGTGATTACTACACAGGGGCTTTGTGGTGACACAGCCCTGGTCCCAAGTCCTGGCTCTGCCTCTTACCAGCTTTGTGACTTTGGACAAGTGGCTTCATCGCTCTGAGCCTCAACTTCCTTTGTGTAAAATGAGCATGATGGTAATAACAGGGGCATCTACCTCCTAGACTCGGGGGGGCTGAATGAGACCAGCAACAGAGTAAGGCCACGGTGAGGAGTAACTGGCATTAATTCTTGTTGGGGTGACCACAGACCATCCTCTCTGATCTGTGAA